TCAGAAAGTTTGCGAGAGAGAGAGAGGGGGGGAGGGAGAGGGAGAGAGAGAGAAAAAAAGGGGGGGGGGGCTTTTTTAAGATAGGGGGTTCGAGGGAGAGTAGACAATACACAGCTTTTTTCTCGAATCCTTGATAGCCTATATCATTAGGCATACATAGTGACCTTTACTATCAAACGTAGTTTCCGTAGTAAAATTAACTTTCAGCAAGGACTTTTCACAGAAGGCTCCGCAAACCAAGACGAATTCCTTGAGGTCTTATCTAAGTCGATTAACATACGGTGGTGAGCTGGGATATTTCGTGCAGCTTTCTTAGGCCATGATTTTTTATTACAATATTATTATTTAAGGCATATTATTAGACCTATGACGTAGACATAATCATTATTTGTCATGATGTTGAAGGCAAAATTATTAAAAGTAGGCCTTGGCTTATACTAATGTAGCCTTAATAAATCAATATCATTCTAAATTATAGGATATACCCCTTCGTATCTCTCTCTCCCCCCCCCCCTCTCTCTCTCTCTCTCTCTCTCAATCTCTCTCTCTCTCTCTATCCTCCCCTCTCTCTCTTCATCTCTCTATCTATCCACCTCCCTCTCTCTATCCACCAATTCCTCTCTCTCTCTCTCTCTCTCTCTCTCTCTCTCTCTCTCTCTCTCTCTCTCTCTCTCTCTCTCTCTCTCTCTCTCTCTCTCTCTTCTCTCTCACCTGAAAGATCATTTGTACGCATTGTACTAGTGTTGCTTTAAACTGTCATGCATTATAATCCACAATTTCATTTTTCATATGAACCGTCTATTTTCCAATTAACTTTGCAAAACGTGCCTTGCGTTAGCATGTTGGTATCATGCTGTACAGCGGAGCTGATGGGCGTGGTTTGAATCCCAGATTGCAAGTCATTAACTCTGGTCGTTTTGTTGAGTTCTTCAGGCTAATTTTAACTCGGTCCTATCGGAGGCGGACGTTCGGAGGTTCAGTCTCTTAAATAAACTAATACCGTAATGCAATGTTGATATGTGCTTTATTTTCCGAAACCTGGACGATTTCAAACCTGAGATGATGGGTAACAGTTCGGCAGCTACAGTACTATCCTTCCCAGTTCCTGATCCTTTTCCGTATTTTGTCCGTATCTTATAAAGTGTGAGCATATATAGTTTTCAGGCGTTGCATTGTCTGCCTATGTGAAAAGTGGAAATTATACAAAGGACTCTGGCTGGCCATTGTTGATTGTAAAGCTTACAAATAGCTAGCTTGCTGGGTGCATACGTAAAGTTTGTATCTTTTGTTATAAGTGTTTGAATGTAGAATGTATTATCGCATCAGCCTATGATAATATCTCAGATGCTCTTCAAAAGTAAGCTTATATACCGGCAAGTCGTCGGGAGCAGTGATAGATTTTTATTCAATTTTACTAAACCGCTAGTGAGACACAAATTCTATGGTCAGCGCCCCTTTTCGTGGTCTTCTGGTCTTCTGATGTGGAATGACTTACCCAGACAGTCCTGTCCTGTGCTAGAGACTCATGCTCCATGGCAATATTTTTAAAAATTTTTTATTTTTTTTTTTGGGGGGGGGGGGCTAAGTGTTTTACGGCGCTCGCAACTGCATAAGGTCATATGAGCGCGCGGGACACACCTAATACTTTTAGTTGGTAGGAAATTTTGAATTTTGCCTGGGTGGCGGTCGAAGCTTACTCTTATAGATTTTAGACCACCACCAAGGGATCTTTAACGTGCGCAACTTGCACACCGGCCCTCCGAGATTTTTCGCCCTTGTCCGAGAAGTCTAGGTGCAGATCTTTCCTACCAGAAGATCACGGATGTGGCAGAAAGACAGCTGTAAGAAGGAGTAAAGGAGTAGCAGTAGAAAGGCTGCAGAAAGAGTCAGGAGCTCAGAGGAGGGGGCAAAGGGGGTGAGGGGGTGGGGGCAGAAAGAGGAGACGAAAGCAGACGACAGAATATTGCTAGAGAGCAGGAAAGGAGGTGAAATGAGACAATTTTAGAGAAGAAAATTTTTCGGTCGCTACCCGGATTCGAACCCGTGACCTTTGAATGAGAGGCCAACACCCTAACCTTTAAGCCACGAGAGTCCCCATGGCAATGTTTAGAAATCAGTTAAAATAATAAATTATATCTTTTTGCTGTTGCATAATTTTTTTATAGTTGATCAATGTAATATATCATAGTAAACCTGGAGAGAGAGAGAGAGAGAGAGAGAGAGAGAGAGAGAGAGAGAGAGAGAGAGAGAGAGAGAGAGAGAGAGAGAGAGAGAGAGGGAGAGAGAGAGAGGAGTGAGGGAGGGAGAGAGAGAAAAAGAGACTACATGTACTTTCTTTGTACTGTTGGATAGCTCATTGAGCACATTCCTCGTGCTAATGCGCTAAATAGATGTGATTTAGTATATTATTTATATAACTATTGATTCAAAATGCTCGATGTTCCAAAGCAGTTGCAGAAATAATGAGCATCGTAATAGGTGGTCCAGTAGTTAAAAATGATAAATTGGATTTCATTGATAAGCTCTACTCTGTTCTTAAAGATGAAAAGGCAGACCACACGATCATATGTGGAGATTTCAATGTTGTTCATAACAATACCCTTGATATTGTGACAGGAGAGAAACACGACGACATGTCCACACAAAAATTCAGGGACTGGATCGCCAACTATCAGATCGTTGATACCTGGCGGGGTGTGCACGGTGAAGAAAAGGATTTCACCTGGTCCAGGCCTACACCTTTTACAGCACGGCGGCTGGACTACATATTTTGTAATACTGGGTTATTTCCCTTTGTTATAGACTCGAAACACACATTTGTATATGGTACGGATCATAAAGCAGTCATAACTACTGTTCGAACTGAAAAATTTAAAAGGGGGCCTTCGTACTGGAAATTTAATAATTCATTACTAAAAGACAAAGAGTACGTTAACTCAATGGAGAAATGCATAGACGAATATTTAGAACGGACTTTAGATGAAACAGATAAAACCATAAGATGGGAACTTTTGAAAGTCATCATAAAGTCACATACAATTGACTACAGTGGTATCTCGTTATAACGAGAGGGGGGGCGGAGCAAGATGTCCGTTATAGCAGGATTCTCGCTATAAGGGATCCAGTAATAAATTCAAGGGAAACTGTACAGTAGGCCAAATCTATGATTTTGCGGTTCTGTTTATTTCCTTTTGATATCTCCCCTGATGATGATTTAGTTTCAACATGACCTTTAGGTTTTACTTGATCAAAAATCGAATCAGGTTTCTTTCTCTAGCGCTAGATCTAGCGTTGTTGACTGACAGCTCGGCGTTGGCGATCAGAAAGAAGGTGTGGTGCATTCCGTCAGCTAGCGCATGTCATTCATTCGCTCCACCCATCACATTGCAGTGACCTCTCCATCCCCGCATCGGAGAAGTGAGAGTGAGTGGCATGGTAGGCCTTGGTAATCTAAACTAGGCTTACACTGGCAAATCACGCGATGCGTTTTGCTTGTCTGCGCATGTCACGCCCTCCCTACTCAGTCGCCCCGGCCTTCATTGTTGACACACACTGGCTCTCCCGTTCTTTGTTTCGCTAGATCACCAACAAGTTTCTCAACTGGCGAGGTTTTTAAATTATGTATAAATGGCCTATGCACTGTGCACAGCAGCAGCCATATTCCGCTATAACCGACTCTCATATTTGTCTGATTGCGCTATAGCAGTATTTTATTTACAAAGGTAAAAAAGAGAAAAAAACGGGGTTTTAGAATAGTGTCTTTATAACAGACTTCTCGTTTTTTCCGGACTCGTTATAAGTGGACTCCACTGTATTGTATTAGAAAGTGCAGAGCACTCAAACTAAGGGAAAATCTAATAACGGAAGAACTTTTGAAATCAAATGATCAAGTAGTGAAAAAACCCCAGG